CCTTTATAACTTTCTCCATATCATTTTCAATTTTAATTTCAGATTTAATCTTAGCCTTCATGTGGACAACCAGTCAACCTTTTCGTATGCGTCCACTAACACGTCAACAATATCCCGAAAAAATAACCAAAAACTTTAGTAACGAAATTAATAATTTTCCAGCACTTGATATATTTATTTGTACTGCAGATCCTTATAAGGAGCCACCGTTAAACGTCGTTAACACGGTATTATCAGTTATGGCCTACGATTATAATCCAATCGAAAAAATATCGATTTATGTATCGGACGATGGAGGATCGGAGCTTACGTTATTTGCTTTTATGGAAGCTGCAAAATTTGCTGTATATTGGCTGCCTTTTTGTAGGGAAAATAAAATAATTCAAAGGTCTCCAGATGCATATTTCAATTCTAATTACTTACAAAATTTTGAGACAAAGAAAATCAAGGTATGTTTTTTTTCCCTCTAGAATTTATATTACTAAATAGAACGTCTAACGTCTAGTGATTTTCTTAATCAATAATAAAAAATTTGATTAATTTTTAATATTACTAAATCATAATTATAATGTTCGAATTTTTAAAAAGTATCTTAACGTATATGGTGGATATTCCTTTAAAAATATATTATTTTTATTTGAATATGATAATACTTTTAAAAATTCGAGCAATATAGAAAATTGAAAATTTTTAATGCTGTTATTTCTGCAAGCATGCATGTGCGATGTACATTTAATTTATATTATAGCTTGCGTTTGAGATCTGGCTGAGTTTATTTATGAGATATTTTGGTAAATTTGTCGTATATTACAATTATTGATAAAGGGGCATATAGGTTTGGTACGATCTATTTTATGGTCTATTATAAATATTATTTTTAGTTATATTATATGGTCTTCTCTATAGGATGTCAGGTCCCAATTTATTAATATAGTATGTGGTAACTTTTGCTTTTCGAAAGTTGATTATCTATGGTTTAAAGTTGAATAGGATTTGATTAAACTAAATATTAGTTAAAATGTTTATCAAAGTTTAGATTATATATATATATATATATATATATATATATATATATGAGATCGTAAAGTATATGAAATTTTTATAGAGATATTTTTTTTTATTTAATTAAATATTATTTGTGATGGAAAATCATGATTCTCGCTAAGGAAAATAACAAATAGAATATTTGTCCTTTATCTTACACCATATTTCATATTTTTATGTATTTTCATTCTTTAAAATTCAAATTATGTTATATTTTAATTAATATTTTAAAATATATTTATACAAGAAGATAAGCAACTTGCAATTTGATTGACTAGTATCTGGCCTGAGTTGATTTTATCAATTATTTGAACATATTTAATATATTTATTGATTTGGCATTTTGTTTTTGAATTCAATCTTTGTGACGCTGTAGCTGAAGGAAAAAAAAACAGATATTTTCTTTAGCCAATAATAGTAGTATATAGTATATGCTCATATATCAATATGTATTTGTTATATATTGTATTTGACTAATAAATTTAACCAATAATGTTGTAACAACTCTTACAAGGACATCTTATATTATTTTAAAATATCATAAAACTTTTTTATTATTATACTAGAATCTTTATCTTATGTTATTAGATAAGAAAAACAATTTATTTTTTATGCAAATCACGTCATAGTATTTTAACAGTAGAAAATAATATTTTTATCTGTCTTTCAGCGTTAAATTATTTATCTTATTTTCAATCTATCAACGCGACTCAAACTATTATCAAAAAAAACTTTTTCGACTATTTATCTTATTTTCAATCGAGAATTTTATGTGATGTATATTGTATTTGTAGTTGATGTATGAAAACATGAAAACAAGGATAGAAGAAGTGATTGAGAGGGGAAAAGTGGATGAAGATTGTATTAACACTGAGGAAGAGCTTCAAGCTTTTACCAAATATTGGACTACTGGATTTTCTCGACATAATCATGCTTCTATTATTCAGGTAAATATATATTGTACTGTAGTAATTCAATTTATTAATGATATTATTATTTTGAAACTTAATTCTATATAACTTGTCACTATAATTTTACGCTCGTTTCCTTATATATAATATTCTTTTAATATTTTATCGATGTGAGACTTAATATAGGATATCATATATATTGAGATTTGCCCATGCGGATGTTTGGTGATTAATTTGGTAATATCGTCCACTTGACTTTATCCTTTTATCAAATTGGTTGGTGTAGGTTTTGTTAGAAAGTGGCAAAGACAAAGACATAACAAGTCATGGGATGCCAAATCTTATTTATTTTTCAAGAGAAAAAAACAAAAGTTCCCCTCATCATTTTAAAGCAGGTGCCCTCAATGCATTGGTAAGTAAAAAATCTAATCAATTTTACTTATACACACGTTCTAAATAGCAAAGTCGAGGAATATATTTGTCTCTTTTCTCTAAAATCTTATCGAATTGATTATTAATTTCTTCTTGTGATATAGCTTCGAGTATCGGGAATTATGACAAATGCACCAATAATATTGACACTTGACTGTGATATGTACTCTAATGATCCATCAACACCTCAACGGGCTTTATGTTACTTCTTGGACCCAACATTACGGCCCGATTTAGCCTACGTTCAGTTTCCTCAAACTTTTCATGGGCTTAATGAAGCAGATATTTATGCAAATGAGATAAAACCCCTATCTATAACTAATCCAATGGGCATGGATGGGCTTAATGGGCCTAATTATGTTGGAACTGGTTGTTTTTTTCATCGTCGGGCTTTTTTCGGGCCTCCGTCTTCGTTTGAGCAGCCCGAAATTCCAGAACTGTTTCCGGATCATGTTGTGAATAAGCCCATTAAGGCCCATGAAATCTTGCGGCGAGCCCATTATGTAGCAAGTAGCAACTATGAGAGTGGAAGTAATTGGGGTTCCAAGGTGAGCTTAGTCTACATTTTAAGTTGGTAAATGTAGAGTATAATTGCACTAGCAACTTCTTTTTGGTGGCAATTGGTTCGAATTTGCCACGCGATATATCTAGTATACATGGTATATTCAAACTAATTCCCACAAAAAAATCGTTTGCACTTAAGGCAATATGAGTATAATTGCACTAGCAACTTCTTTTTCGTGGCAATGAGATCGTACTTGTCACATATTTTAGATCTTGTTGCCACGAAAAAGTTGCTAGAACTGAAGACAACATAGTAAATGTGGTGTAAAATTGAACCAACAAGACAATCATTTCGGACTTTCTGCTTATCGTTGCCAGTAAAAATAATAGTAATATATCAATCAGATGTATAATACATGTATCTTTAATGTATAATCTGTATATAATCATGTATGTTATATACAAACTAACAATTTCAAAATTATGCAGATGGGGGTTAGGTATGGATCACTTGTTGAGGATTACTACACAGGTTATAGACTTCAATGTGAAGGATGGAAATCAGTATTTTGCAATCCTAAAAGGCCTGCATTCTTAGGAGATAAACCAATTTCTCTGTATGATGTGGTCAGCCAAATGAAGAGATGGGATGTGGGCCTTCTTGAAGTTGCTCTCTCAAAATATAGCCCATTAACTTTTGGGGTTCAGTCCATGGGCCTTGTTATGGCCCACTGTTATTCTCACTATGCATTCTCCCCCTTTTGGTCAATACCACTTACTCTATATGCCTTCATACCTCAACTTACTCTTCTCAATGGGGTTACAATCTTTCCAAAGGTATGCCCTTTTGATATATGACTCAGCATATTTAACGTTTAATTAATTAAGTTATGTGTTTCGATTCCCTTTCATGTAGAAAATATATTATAACATTGTCATATACAAAGCAACACTACATATATAGAGCATAGCACATGACTAATTAATTGGTAGAACGACTACTCTTATGGTAAATTTGTGGATATTGTCGAGCAGATGAATAAGAAGTCTAAGTTATTTATTTTGAAGGTTTACTGTTCTTTTTATATCGATTTCAGGTTTCAGATCCTTGGTTTTTCTTGTATGTTTTTATGTTCCTTGGATCGTATGGACAAGATTGCTTGGTTTTTATGTCTAATGAAGGGACATTTAAAAGGTGGTGGAGTGACCAAAGAATGTGGATGATAAGGGGGTTAACATCTCACTTATTTGGAACAATTGAGTATTTAACTAAATACTTAGGCATATCGACACAAGGTTTCAATGTAACAAACAAAATAGTCGATAATGACCAAGGTAAAAGGTATCATCAAGGAATTTTCGAGTTTGGAGTTGTTTCGCCTATGTTTGTGATACTAGCAACAACATCAATCATCAATTTAATAGCATTCCTCAAATCATTAGCACAAATTTTCAAGGGTGATCAAAATTTGGATGGAATATTTATCCAAATGTTTATTTCTGGTTTTGTTGTTATAAATTGTTTGCCAATTTATGAAGCTATGGTTTTGAGAAGTGATAAAGGAAGAATGCCTACAAGGGTCACTATTTTCTCAACATGTCTTGCTTGTACTCTCTATATAGCATTTGCTTTTCTTTTAGGAAACATGTAATAGAAAAGTTTTATTTTTGTACTTTGGGACCTTTTGTTATTGTTCTTGTAGTCTTATTTCTTAGTTTAAGTTAAGAAGCAATATTAGATTTAGTTGAAATGTTCAAGAATAAAAGGATTATGGAGGTCTTATAGAATGTACAATGCTGTAATTTTTTATATTTGTGTATGTGAATCAAGTCTTGTATTTTGGAGATTAGTTAGTAAATTTTTTCAAATTTTAATCTTCTGTCCATAAACTCCTTTTTCCTTTTTTTAAAACAAAATTTCAATTTCATTTCGAATGTCATTGTCTTATCAAAATTACAAAAAAATTATCATATATGATGTCATTTTAAAGTTATGTCTATAAACTATATATATATATTTCAATATGCAACACTTTTGTCTGCCTTACAAATTCCAAGAAATGCAACAAAATTAGGCAGTCCTTTAAATTCCCCTTTTGTCTTTAAAAGGAAAACTTGGACCATTTCTCGATTTGTCTGAGTCATCTTCGTGCAGAGACCATACAAATCTTTTTTGTATCATTCTAATTTTTTCTGCGATTGACATTCATATGTCAGGAGCCTTATCAATGTTGATAACATGAGTTTCTACATTTGAAAAATCTCTCTCAATATTGTCAACAATGCTAGATGATGAACTACTAGCACTAGACAATTCTTCAACTATCACCACCACATGTTGCTCATGCTCCTCTCTACTAATCGTTATATCGCGTTGTTCCCTCTCCTCCTCGATGACAATCGGGGGATTGTGATTAGAAGGTGGTGGTTGTAGAGGTTGCGGATTTTTGTTGGTAACAAGGACATGGCATCGACAGAGTGGACAAGAGAAATTTGAACGAAGCCAATGGCGTATGCATTCAACATGAAAAATGTGCTTACATGAAGGTAGTTGGTGTAACTCCTCTTTGATCTCAAATTCTCCCAAACAAACACAACACCTGTGAAATTTTTCGTCCTAATATTAGTAAATAAAAATACAACATCTCAGTTTCAAACTAGTTAGGATCGACTATATATATGAATCCTTTCTGTTTCATTTTAGTATAGAATGACAAGACAAGCAGAATCTTGAAGTAGACCTTTAGCATAACTAACTTTTTTTCCGCATAGATTTCAGGGGAAATAGCTTTTTCGAAACCAATCCCAATAATATCGAGATTGAAATGAAATTATAGTTAGACCCCACATCCTTTTTCTTGGAACTAACTTATAGGCACTTGATTTTTTTTTAGAACAATCCTTTTTCTTGGAACTAACTTATAGGCACTTGATTTTTTTTAGAACAAATCGAAAATGATATGCAACTTTAATCAAGGTAAAAAGGTAGAGCACAAAAGCCCTCCACCCTACCAAAAAGTAAAAATCTTGGTGCTTGCCCTTGACACATAGGACATGCTTTTTCGCGATTACTATGAGATGTCAAACTCAATTCATCAGGAATCGAAAGAATACAAAATCACTCTCGGAAAAAAAAGAAGAAAGAATCCTCCCTTTAATTTTGACTATTCTAATCTAGAGGACTTGACGAACCACTTAAAAGGATGGACGGACGGAAAAAACATGAATTTGACAAAGTAACACAAACAAAAATTTAAAGTTTTTAACTTACTGAGAATCCCTCATCATTGAATCTTCATCAAATAGTATAACAGGAAGCTTATAGTTCTTGACCATCCCCTTTACATCTACATCTCCCTACCAAACAAGAAAACTATTAGCAAACTTTTCATCATTTCTTGAAAAAAAATCATGAAAATTCAAAGTTACATTGTTCAGACTCTCTAAAAATGCGTTTTACTCATGTTACATCCTTCAAGAATCAACACTACTATTTTCAAAGGATCGAACAAACGCTAGTTGATATTTTTGAAGAGTCTGAATAGAAAAAAAAATCAAGAAGAGAAACTCACATGAATAATAACTTGATTTGAACTTCTTGGAAGGATTACAAGAGGGGAATTAGAACCAATAGAAGCTCTTCTTTTGAGATAAAACAAGTAAAACAAAAGAAACAAGATTATAGAAAAAAGAATTGGAATTGAAAAAATGAAAGCTTGATAAAGTTTAAGTTGAAGTGCTTGAGGATACAAATGAGGTGGACTAGGAGATTCAGGTAACCCCATTGAAAAAAAAAATAAACACTTAAAATTAAGTTCAATGAAAAAAAATTAGATTATAAGCTATAAGCTTAATATGTATACAGAAACCTTAGCTTATATAGCTTTTATATACAAATCAAGATCAAGAAAATGAAAAAAAAAAAAGAGGATGTTTTTAATTTTTGGATTTTAATTGAGATTTGAAAAATGTGAAGTGCTTTTTTGGAATCAAATTAAGTGATGAAAATTGTATGATTACTTTATTTACACTTTTTAATTGATGTGACTTGTTCATAACTTGCCACTAAGATATTTTTTAACATATAAAAAGATTAAAAGAAAAGGCCCCTCATTCCACTCTTTCATGTTTATCTTTTTATTATTTTTTAGCATAAGATTGAATCATAGTTTCTCCCGTTGGGACAGATTAATAATGATAATCATAAACTTTGTCACTTACCTTATCATTAAAAATCAATATATCATTTGAAAATCATAGGATTGCACATTGTTCAAATTATCTTAATTTTTACCTAGTGTTACAATTTACATTTTTTTATTTTTAACCAATCGTTTCATAATCTTTGATTTTATTTTTAATAAGATAAAATAAATTTTATGTGTTAAAATATTTTAATTAAAAATTCAATACTTACCCTCTACTTCAACTATGTGATACTTTAAATTAGACTTTTGTTAAAATAAAATAACGAAAGGTGAAATTAAAATACAGATATAAATAAATTATCATGTTTACACTTTTCACTGAAGTACATACAAATATCTTTCTTTCTTACTATATTCTTTTCACATTTGACAAGACTCCCACACAAAACTAAGTTTTATTTATTTATGATATTTTTTAGGAAGTTTGATAATCAATCAACTTCATTAGATAGTCATTTAGGTGGTGAAGCACTGATCAGATAAGCCTGAATAACCTCATGACACCTTTCAAAATCTCATTGGAAATGGAAGATAAAGAAAAAAACACTCGTTCGATCAAGCTTTTAAAAAATTTAAAATATTTTTTAACTAAATTTAAAACTATTGAGATAATTATTATAGTTTTGATGAAAATAAAAATATATGTTGATAATAGAAAGCAAGTATTTTATTGAAAGGCATGTATATGACTTATACTCAACAATTTTTCTTTTTAAAGGAAACTATATCTAATTGAGTACTTAATATTTGGCCAAACTTACAGAAGTATTGAAAAAATACTTTTGAACAGTAGTAATTTCTATTTAACTAATCAATTAGAATAATATTTTGTGCTTGATTAAATTCCTTTATAAAAGCTACTTGCTTCTCAAAAAACTTGTTTTTTTTTCCTCTAAAAGTGTCGTATGAAAATAAATTATTTATTTTATCTAAATTCTAATCTACACATTTGGAATTTATTCTGTTGGCATCAACAAAATAAGTGGTTCTTCCACAAACTACACTTAAAAGTGTGTTTTTTTTTCTTCATATAAATGAACTTTTTCTTATCTATAAAATACCTAGCAATATATTTTTTTTGGTACTACTATATACTATAGTGGCCCATACAACATGCATTTATTCATATGCTCCTATCACTTGTTGTTGATTACCATAAAAATGGGTCCATCCATAACTCTTGAAGTGTCATATCATATTTTGCACTCTCCATTCAACAAAGCAAGGGATATTCTCAAAAAATAATTAACAATAATAATAAATAACTACGTTTTAATTTCAAAGTAATCATTTTTACTATATTTATGTCGATTTTAGAGTATTTATCATAGTTAAACTATCTTTATGTTGATGGAAAGAAAAGATAACTTATATTAGATAAAATAATTAAAATCTGTGTAAACTGAGATGAACATTATCATATTTCGAAAAGGAAAAAGAACACTAGTATTCTAGGAGGTAGACCTTTAAGTCAAGCCAAAGGATGGTAAAAAATAGGATTCAATCTAATCATGTAAAGATAAAGTAATTCAACTTTACACATATGAAGACAAGTTTACCAATTGTTAAGAGACTTATATGCATTAGTGGAAGATCTTGTTTCCTGGTAATGAGCATTAGCCGTTAATGACGGGTTGATCACTTACATTAATTAACTAATTTAAACTAGCAAATTATTGTTAAGAAAATATCTTCTCTATACTCCACTATATCAAACCTACTAGCTCTTTTTGTGTGTGAGATATTCTGAATCAATACGCGTAAACTTTGATTATTTCAGTGAATACTTGCTATTTTGTATTTAATAGCGAATATACAATTTCCACGAAGAAATTTATTATCTCTCTCTGAATATTTCTAAATCTTAAAAACGAAAATCATCGCTTGAGCCAACTAGGTGGGGTTTGATCTTTTGTCGTAGGTTAGCTTGGTAATCCAGACAAGTGGGAGACTCCACGTATGATTAGATAATTTTACTCATCAGTATAGGGGAATTGATACTCTATCCACTATTATTTAGATAATTACGAAAAATAATTGAATATCTAATTTTTTTTTATGATTTTCTTTCCATTTTATAGATAGTTGAACTGAACATCTTGGAACGTAACCAACTTGCTCTTTCTTTATGTCTCCATTTACTAGTTTTAAATTCACAACTTATCCTTGTCCAACAACTTTACAAAGATGCAACTTCACTTAATGTGAGCATTTTCTTGGAATAAATTCATGTTTATTGTTTGTGGGGTGGAAAGAGATTCTCATAATTTCCTTAATCTTTCTATCAAAGTGGGAAATGTGGTCATCCTCAAACTACACCATTAAATCAGATTCTCAAGATTTTCCATAAAGCTAAAAAAAAAATAAAATTTTTTTATTTCTTTATTAAACTTATCTAGTATATAACGTAATCTAACTTTAAAAAAATTCTTAGCAATTAACATAAAAATGACCATTTTATGACATATATGTTAAGGTGGAACTACACTGTTGTCTTAATGCAATCAATACAAAATTTTGAACCAAATGTCTAGATCATAACCCATAAAAATGGAAGTAACAAAAAGCAAGAAAATGTACACCTTACCGTTACCTCGTGGTGATAGAGAGGTGGTTTCCAAAAGACTCTCAGCTCAAGCACAAAGTACCAAATAACTCTCCATCAAGGCTTGGACAAATAGGAAGAAACGACCTCTGGTGTTTCTCAACCCATTTCATTGTCCATTAGGCCACACTGTTGAGTTACATCAGTACACCTTCTCATGTTAAGAATTCTATGATAAAAAGAAATGGTAAATCTGACTTGAAAACCAAAGAGATCAGAAAAGTAAAAATGAAGGTAATCAAGTGCTCAATAATGCTACTATTATATATTATATTTAAGAGCCAAATTGGAGGATACTTGAGCAGAATGTAATGGCAACTTTCAGTAATATAAAAGAATGTTACAAATTGATACTGTTTTGCTGTGAAAAGGACTGTCATGACTTAAACATCTGAAAGGCGCGATGAGGAAAACTTGCCTGCTCTCTGTTATCGTCTTTTACAACTGAACAGATACACAAATTAAACTAACCAACCAAACTAGTATTTTCTTTTCCTAATCTTGAAAGTGGACGACCGGATAACATCATCATCAGCTACCAATGTTGCCTCAAGAGCTACAATGGATTCAGGTTTAGTAAAATAAGTGAACAGGAGGTAGATACCGTCCAAGTACGTATTTGTCTCTCCAGCTTTGTTTTTCCTCCTAATGCTGTATGCAAGTGGAATAACCCCTCGGTTGAAGACTTCCACATACATACCACCACCAGCAACCAGCAACTGCCCAAGAGAAAGAAAAACAAAAGATTATAACTTGCATCGTCAAATAGCATGTACAACTGAAATTGATCGGAGACAATATTAGTTAGAACTGTTCAATCCATAACAGAGTTACTATAAGTCTATTATGTACTTTTAGATGAGATGGTCAAGTATAATTTTAATATTTCCCTTCACGTGTGGACTTGTGTAAATCCTTTTTTGATAATGTGTGGCAATGAGAGCCTGATCCGATACCATGTTGAAGAGAGTTTCTTTGGTTGGTTAGACGGAGTATCTGACAAAGAGAAACACAAAACATGGGAAACATTGGCACTTACAAGTGTGTCTATTTGATTGACCTGTTAGGCAAAAGCTGAAACGCAGTAAATGTTGGAACAAACATAGAACAAAGACACGTGTGCTGATGCTTAACTTTTTTCTCTCTTCAAGCTTATCAGGGATTTAACTAAGTGAAAGTTTCCCCAATCATTTGTAGGTGAAAGATGACAGATAGTTTAATCAACTTTAAGTCCTTTCATACTCAGTGCAATCCCACATGCGGGATATGGGGATGTTGGTGGGTACGCAGCCTTGCCCCTACCTAGTAAAGGTATAGAGCTATTCCAAATAGACCCTCGGCTCAAGTGAAACAAAACAACAATCAGTAAGAAACGGAAATACAGTAGTAAACGGGTCATGTAGAAAATAGAGTTTCATCAACTTTAAGTACTTCTATTATTGTCCTCCGCAGCTTTGCAAGCCTATTTTTCTTATAGACGTCGACTATAACATCAAAAATGAGATGGGCAAACAAAAATACAATGATCATCCATGTTCACAAAGAAGAATGATAAGGTGATAATAGTCATCAGACCAAGGCTTTTGGACTCGAAAAGCAGATAGAGAAAAAGAACAAGATTAAAAATGAAAGCTCTTACATGGGAACAAGAAGAATGAAAATTGTAGCAGAAGCTGAGACTAACTTTCTTCTTACTTAGATCATGTCCATGTCAGCTTAAATTATAACAAAATGTTGAATTATGCACCCAAACACTGTTGACTGTTGTTAGGTTCAAATATCTGATTTTTCCAAAGAATGGCCTTCTAGTGAGTAGACAAAAAAACAAAAAGGAAGAATATTCTTGGACAATCTTGTGCTTAAATAAATTGCAAGGTCGATATTGCTTTTGCTTTCAGGTTTCCGCCTCTTAGCAGACAAAGAAAGAAAAAAAACAGTTTTTTTAGCCAAGAGAGGGGAATGGAAGAAATTCTCATCATGTCAAACCAAATATCAATCACTTGTTCTGTTTCCTAAATGATCTCCCTGTTTCAAATGAGTATAATTATCTTCATTTCCCAGTTCACAATGAAATCAGCTGAAGAGTATCAAATGATACTATATGCAGCTCAACTTCTGATAAAAATACTTACTCCTTCAGTCCTAATGTGTGGCAACCTTCACTTCTCATTCATGAACTATGACAAACATATTAAAAATTTATTCTTTGCCTTCAGCATAGATACTAAGAAAATTACAATAACAACAACAAAAAAACAGTGAAACATCACAAGAGGGGTCTGTGGGTAGAGTATACGCAGACCATACACCTATATATTGGAGGTAAAGAGGCTGTTTCCGGAGAACACTCGGGATACTAAGAGAATTATAATACTTTCTCATACAAAAGGAATTAGTCTAGTTCAATTTATCTCCAAAAGTCAATCAAATTGACCCTAAATAAGCAAAATGCGCCAAACAAAATGGAAAGAAACAGTATATTAGTTTCAAAAATTCAATCTTTAGAACTCTCAACTTCAACTCTAATGCTCAAACAGTCAAATCAGCAATTGAAAACTTAGAATCCACCCAAATTGAGCTTAGCACCTTGCAAGTTATATCAGTTTCCAAAAACAAAAACAATCATTGTTACCTCTTCGTATTTCTGGGTAAGAGCAAGTCTTTCATCTTCAGACATATCAGGTCTCAATACCACCATTGTTTCATAAGGGCGTAACCCAGGTGGACACTGCGGTTCCTCTTTATCTTCAACTGCAGAAATACCCGACCATGGTGTAGTCGGTGGTTCATCAGCATTTCCTCCTCCAAATCCACCCTCGAAAAACGAGCCCGAAAATTCTAGAGTTTGGGCTTTCAAGATTTGCCCAGAATTGTTGACCCTTTTGGTGAAACCTTTGAAGTTGAAGGGTATTGAAGGTTTAGAAGAAGAGAGAGTGGAGGTAAGAGATGGAAGTACTGATGGAGAAGAAGAAGAAGACGCCATTCTTGAGGGAGATAAAGTGGATAAGAAAGAGGAAATTCACAATTTTCAGTTCTGAGTTGGTAAAATTGTACAAGTGAAATTTATTGCTTTTTTTTTGTTTAGATACCCTCAAGACTTGTAAATGCTACTTTACTCCTTTCTTTTTATTTTTTTCTTGCAAAATTTAAGTCATGGATTAAATTTGATTTATTTTTAATTAATTGAAAGTGATGGTTAATTGTTCTATCACTTAATTTTCATATAATATGAAATTGTATTGGTATTTCATGTTTTACGGTAATATTCGTCTAAAAATACTTTAATCCTCTTTAAAAGAATTAATCAATTCAAGATTAAATGTGTTTAGTTCGATATTATAAGGATCAAAATCAAAATTAACCAAGTTAAAGTGACTATAAGAGGCCATATTTATTTATTTATTGGCAGTTTGTGTTCCCTCTTAACTATAGTATAAGGAGGTAGAAGTAAGCAAAGTTTTGAATAAATAATTTGGTGAAGATCTCCTAATGAACAAAGAATCTATTGTAATGTATTTAGCATAACAAAAACATAGCACTTTCTATATGTTAAATCAAATTGCATTGTTCGAGTTATGTTTGTTGAATCGAGAATTGTGATCTTGTACATGATTATGTTGTTGGCAATGTACTTGACGAATGACTAATTGAATATATCAATTGGATCTTCCATTTATGAAAATAGAAGATAAAAAGGATAATTGGAAGTTTGCAATAGAAGTGGAAGCAGGTGTATATATTAAGTATATATCCACAAAACAAAGATATTGGCTTATGAGTTATGACATGAGCCCAACACCCAAAACAGGGTAATAGTTTACTGGGTTAGAAGAATTTACATGAGCAGCAAGGTGTATCCTTCACAAGGCATGCATACACATCACCCTCCCCAAACCTGATGGGATCACACTGGGTATGCTGTTTTTTGTTGCTAGAAAGATCAAAATCCAGTCTCTTTTGACCCCTCATCACTCTCCTAGAAGCATTCAGTATTCAGAACTACTATCTACATCTATACTAGTAATAGGTCTTACATCAGTATCTACAAAAAACGGGTTCTTTCTCCTACACATGGTTAATAGGTAGAAGTAAAAGAGCGAAAAAACTGAGCAAGAGTAGCCAAGAGGCCATTATGATTCGAACTTGTCACACTGAAGATCAAATATTTAGCATTTCCGTCCACTTAGCTATTCTGTGAAGGGGGTATACAAGTTCTAGGCTGGCACATCTTTAACAAGCTTAGAAACTGGCAGTCGATATATGAAACTACATAACAAAGGTACAGGTTTTTCTAACAATGAAAGGTTAAAGTTAAAGACACGGGCTTTACTCATTATCATTACAATCTTAACTACAAGACTCCCTTTCATCACAAGAATTGGTTCACATTAAAACAACATCCTGATAAGCAAATGCTAAGCAGAGATGGACAGTATTCCACATGTACTCAAAAAACTGCAGAAAGTCAAAACTACTATGCATAGGTAGTTGAACTGATGACCTATTTTACAACAGTTGTTCATGAAGACCGAAAAACAATTCTTAATCTAAAACTTATAGAAGAAGATCAGCTTGTATCAGGGTTTCGAACAAAATGTGACTAGACTTGCAGCTTTTCCTCAAGGAAGCTTCTACATCCATCCATCTATGAACTTTCGTGTCTGTAATATAAAAATTATTGATTCAACAAATAGATTGGTCTAATTATAAATGAAGAAATCAATTTTATACTGCTATTGATAAATATGCACTGCATTAAGCATAATGGCTGATCCTATTTAATTGTAAGTTGTAACTACTTTATTACTCAATCCCAGTGTAAGTGAAACAGGTGAAATTGCATGTAAGAAAACGAAAAATGTGTTCTGGTCCTTCTGAATGCATTATTGAACATTATATTGCTTGAGGGGACTGTAATATGGAAAACAGGTCATGCACCGACTACTTTGTGCTCAACAACTACCCCCAACACAACCCCAAGGAAATGAGAGAAGTACAAAAAATGTACAATCTAACCTCCTGATACTGCAGACTGAAACTGTCCCACCTACTATATCATACCATGGACATTGTCAGAGACATGAAGCATAAAAGATATTAGCTAGTTAAGGATACCCTTATTTCTAGGATCCCGACATTATTTCAAAAGTTAAGAATCACACAAAATCCACATATAGCTTTTGCAATGAAAAAAACAATTTCCTGGATTCTCCCCAGAATGTTCTGGTAGCCTTCTGTTAATTCATAACAAGAAATAATTGACCAAATACACCTCAAACTCAAACTATAGCAACCAAGTTAAACATGCATACCTCACCCAAGAATCATCATCCAGATACAAACTTTACAACAATACAGAGTGTGTTGAGGAGTATGAGAAGAACTCTCAGATATTGAGTTGCATAAATAAGACCAAGTAGCTGGCCCTTGAATGAATTTCTCCGCACCCCTGAATATTCCTGGAAGCTCCATCCTCTCGGAGCAAGGAAACGGTCTTCGTTCAATATTGCAAGTGCATTTGCAAGAAGCAGGCAGCCCTCGAGCAATGTCCACAAACCCATGCCCTGAATTATGTTGATATTATTAGTATCTCCATTCACAAGAATCCGTTCTCAACTTCTCATATCTCACTTTATTTGTATAATCTTTCTGAATCAGCTAAAACGTTTTAAAGATAACCCAACAACACAAAAGGTTAAGAAAATGTAAAATAAATAAATAAAAGAGATTGAGTAAATACAAGCTATACAAAATACTAGAAAATTCTGCTTGCATTCGCAGTGTTTTTGCTGCAAATTCAGAAAATTATATTCAGGAGCTGGCTGATATATCGGGATGTTGAATTAAGAAATTCATCCTACTCTCCCCATACCCCACTATTGGGATTACATTGGGTATGCTGTTGTTGAATTGAGAAATTTACTACAGTATATTTTGGAACTATTGGTGACTTGTGGAAGAAGCTCATCCCTTGGGGAAAAAATATCTGTCTTTTGGTGGAAGGCATCCGCTGGTGAATAGTGTTCTTGATGGCATCCTACGTACATGATATCTCTCATGCCTATACCAGAAAGTGTTGAGAAAAAACAATTAACAGTCTTATAAACGAGTTTTTATAAAAGGGGAACTCAGACAGAAAAAGATTTCACCTTGTAACACGGAAACCAGTGACTAGGAATGAAGAAGGTAGTGGTAAACAGCATCACAATAAGAACTTGTTTTGTAAGTGGCTCTGGATACTGAATGATAACAGAGAGGAGTTTTGGAAATAGCTTATCATCACTAAATGTGGCAAAAGGGATAAGTGAACTCCTAATCATGTGAGCATCCTTCCAATGTGTCTGGAAACATATTTGCAAATTATGGGAGGATTTCAAGAATCATATTAGGCTAAAGGTGGGAAATGGAAGGAAGATACACTTCTGGGTCCAACAGATGAATTGATACAGGGACTGAAGGATAAATTTCCAACTCTCTCAGTTTTCTTGGTTAGGATGCTCTTGAAAGTTGGAATTCACGGGAAGTTGACAAAGCCATCAAGAGTTATCTCGATGATGATCCCTGGTGCTATCTTACGGTGTTTATGGACAGTAAGGAACAAAAGATGGTTTTAATGAATTTCAACTTCTAAAAATCTTTTGTGAGGCAATGTCTAGTTAGCCTTTTTAGCTGGTCCAAGTTGACCCTGTATATGATTAGAACTTCTCTTGGATTTTTTTAGTTCTATAGTTTAGGAAGATGCTACAGGAATAAAGCTTGCATCTTCTTGATGCCTTTAAATAAATCTACTTTCTTTAAAAAAAAAAACTTTCTACACTTTAGCACTCAAAAATATGTTATGGTTGTTGATACTTGATTGTGTTGCTAACTTCGATAGGAAGATCTGATTTTAAAGAAACTTAAATAACCAGGACTCCAGGATTCAAGATATCAGTTACCTTTTGACTCTATAACAGCCTCTTGATGACAAAGGGATGGACTCACAAAAAAGGCTTGCCTGCACTAGTGGAGTGCTTTTATTTTAATCATGGTGTATGACCTAGCTTGCGAACACCTCAACTAACTCCAAAGGTACCTGTTATCTCCTACCAACACAAGTATCGGGTAACTTTGTCGACCAGGGCTTGGACAAATGAGAAGAAATCACCTAGTCTTTTTTAGCCCACTGAGTTTTGAACCTAATAGTTCTTAATCCACTACATTGATCATTAGTGGAGTTTTTCCTATTACAGGAAATAGATGGCAATTGAAAACAAAGCTGGCCTTGGAAGATAATTTGGATGACGAGGGCACCCAAACATTTTTGCTTTGACTGGATCCTTGCCCATAGAGCATGTGTCACAAGTTATTTTGCAAAGAAGAGTTTTTTCCATGTGCAGTAAATGCTTATTATGTGGAGACTCACAAGAATCCATCAGCTATCTCCTGCAACATTGAACTATGTTTGACAGATTTGGACATTACTTCTTAACATTTTGGGGGATGTTCGGGTGATGCCACAAGATGTTAAAGGATTATATCAGCTTGCAAGGAGAGAGAATTAACAAAAAAAGAATGAAGTTTGGAGGGACAGATTTGAACATTAGTTCTTAACATTTTAGGGGTTGTTCGGGTGATGACGCAAGATGTTAAAGGATTACATCAGCATGCAAGGATAGAGAATTGACAGAAAAATAATGAAGTTTGGCGGGACCCACCCATTACGCGTCATGTTACAATTTGGTGTGAGAGGAATAGAAGGTGTTTGTTGGGAAAAACAACACTCATCTTTTGTAAGCATATAAAATTTACATTTTGGTGCGGGAGCAGCTTGATTAAGTCTCTAGCTCATTTTATGGATTCACTAAAGATGCAATATAGCAGGGAGCTTGTTCCTCTATCTTTTGTACTTTTTCTAATACCTACTTGGCACTATAGTATCAATACAATTAGCTTACCTTGTCAAAAAAATATCAAGTTGCTCAAGATATAGTATTGGAAATGCAATAGCACTTAAAGAGATAAATGGATACAAACATACAAAGAATTCATGTGATCCAGCCCAATTACTTTGAGATAGAGGCCTAATTAATCGATTCGCTTCTCAAACATAGTTTACCCATGATCATTCAACCAATGCTTATGCATTTCCAAATCGTAAGCACGCAGGGAGAAAAATGAAAGAAGGCAGAATCAAATTGTCCAATTTTTCATTCATTTGATCAATATAATCACTAAAACATACTATGTGCATACTCACTAAGCATGAAAGAAGGCAGAATCAAAGTTGAAGCCGCAATTTCTAAGTAGTCAGAAATGCATCCACATTCAAGTAAATCTATTTCTAGCTAGATTCTTTTGATCAATAACTAAACAGAATCAAGCATATTAAATTACAAATAACAGAACTCGCGGCTTCAACAAGCATAAATCAGTGATTTGAGAAATATTTATTTAACCTAAGAACAAGGAATTCAAAAACTTCAATTACAGAGAATAATAGTCGACATCGCACCTTCAACAAGCAGAAATCACGCTTCAAATTAGTGTCAGATTCAATTATGGTGGTATAGTTGAACTTCTTTCAACAGATTTTTCTTAATCTTCAATTGTTTCTTTTGTAAAAAAAAAAGTGCAATGATCAAACTTACCTGACGACGAGGAAGACGAACGATCGGCGGCAGGTGGCAGGCGTCAACCGGCGGCAGCAGACGGAAACTCTCAGTGAAATATGAATAGACTTGATTTGGAACCCAGATCTGCAATCTGAACAATACGTATACTTTCACTAAAGAGGCAGAGGCAAAGGCAAAGGCAAAGGGCTAAGTTTCATATTTACCGTCTGCGTCAGTCACAATTTACGTCATACATTAAAACAAATATATTTAAATATGGAGCAATAATTATTTTTTGGGCAAAAGGATGTGAAAGTATTTTAATTTTGATCGAAATTGTTTGATATAATATCAAATTTGATGGATAACGTTTTATTTGTTCATTATTTAATAGTGTATTATATATATTCACATAGATACATTACTATTTATAATTATATAATATTTATGATATCCAAACAGATAATTGAATATCTATAAAATATATTAGTATTAAATAGTGCAAGCGTAAAAATTTATTTTTAGAATTCATTTTTATTGTAACATTTTGTTTTAAAGTAAGAATATATTTTAAAAAGTTTTTAATTTAACTCTTAAAATCTAATATTATATTATACTCCTTCTATTAATTGAATATGTGAGATAAAAGACATAATATATACCATATGATCAATTATTATTCTTTCTGGAATCATATATATACTATTTAAGTACAATTTATCTTCTAAATTATCAAACTTCATTAATGAAAGAGACAAATATGAAAAAAAAATTAAACATCTATTTTAAACTTTTAAGAATTTAATTAACTTGAATTAATGAAAAATTCATTTTTTTGATTTATAAGTGTATATTTTTTTCAGCACATAACTTATTAATAATGACAATTTTTTAATTATATGTCAACCGCTAACCATAATATCAATCAATATGAAATAATTGTTATTGATAACCAATATAATGTTTAGTTTAGATTTGTACAGTATGGTAATCAAAGTAAAATTTAGAGAACTCTTAATATTTTATGTTCGCTAGCAAAATTCTAATCATGTTAGTAGGGTGATTTATTGCTTGATTAAAAGATTTGGATCATTTAAAGATTTATTAGATCTACGAAAAATATTTTTCTGTATAAATTATTCAATTTCAAGCAACATAAATGAAGTTAGAAATATAGGACACTCATATGCCAAAAGCTGTCATCTCCATAATTGTTTACTTATCTCCAAAAGTGTGTGTTTCATTAGAGTACCTTTCAGCAAACACCTGTTGTATATAGCAAGGTTTCACGGTTGTTATTATTTGGGTGCCAAATGAAATGTGTATTGAGTACTACATCCTTCCCAAAGTAACTTCTTTTGAGTTGAAGTGTTATTGTTCAAGTGTCTTTTTTTTAGATAATAATATTTTATTTAAATATATTAAACTTTAATTATTTTTTTGATGTTGACATTTGACTTTATAACAAATTTTAACCGAACTTAAAATGAAAATATTGCTATTTTTTTAAAGAAAGGATTTTTGTTATTTAATAAAATATTTTATTTTTTATATACGTGTGAACGGTTACCTATAGGTAGCCCTTTTAATTTTATTACTCTTATATAAAGATTATTTATTACTAAAATCAAAATATGAATGTTCTGTGTTATTTGAACCTACAGTTTTAAACTTTGGATACACTGTCAAGAACAAACATCAAATACGATATTGTTAAATGAGAGAGAAAGTTCTCTTTTGATGTCAAATCACACCTAATATATTATCATTCTTTGAAAAATCTTTATCAAAATATTTTTAAAATCACTTTTTTTTCTTTATATATTATGGGCATTCATAATAAAGAAAAAAATATTTTCAATAATATGAATATATTGAATTAGTGGATTGTTCATATTCTCAATTCATGAACTATATACATCAATGTATGTGTATTTACTAGGTTGCATTAATCATTTTCAATAAGAATATATCTATTTATTATGACATTTAACATGGTGTCTTTGAAATGATTTATAAACCTATTAATAAGAATATTTGTTTACCATTGTAAAAGACACTTGGAGATATTTGAATAATATGATCTCTGCATTTTACTTTTTTGTATATCTTGTCTATATTGTTTGTAATATATTATTTATGTTTTACAACATTTATTAGGTATCTAAAGTTTATAAAATAATAAATAATATATCTCATCTATATTATTTGTAGTATATTATTTATGTAAACGACATTTATTAGGGATCAAAAGTTTATAAAATAACAAATAATATATCTTGTCCATATTGTTTGTAGTATATTATTTATGATTTACAACATTTATTAGGTATCAAAAGTTTGTAAAATAATAAATAATATTATTTTAAATTTAGTAAAAATTGAGCGATTGAGTTATGACTTATTACTAATCCGTTTTGATCCAATTCATTTTAGCCTAAACAAATTTGAATTCAATTAGGTCTTAACTCATTTATTATTTTAATCCATTTTGTCCGTTCAAATTCAATCCAACCAACCGAAATCAGCCCAACACAAAAGCCCATGAACTTCTTCGTTGGGCTTTCAGGCCCCTTATATGAACACCAAGAAAAATCGTCCAATTTTCTTCCTCCGTTTTCTTGTAAAGAAAGAAGAGAATCCTTCTACAGAGACCGAGAAGAAAAAGCTCTGAACAGAGATCGAACATGGATCCAAAGATTACAGAAGTTTCACAGACTTTCGAACGATTCAAAGCTGCTGTTGTGCGTAACGATTTTGATGCTTGCACTAGGCTACTCTCCCAGCTCAAGGTAATCGCATCAAATCATCATCTATCATTGTTTAAACCCTAGTTTGTTTTTCTAAATTTTGCTCAAATCATGTAAATGTGAGATGTTTAGAGGTGTTAGTCTTTAATTGGCTTATCGCACTTGTATGGTGATAATTATAGTGATTTATATGCCGATTTTATGCGGAATGATTTTGATGCTTGTATTAGGCTACTGTTTTAGCTCAAGGTAATCGCATCATTATGATATTACCATAGGTGAATGCGGCGAAAACCCTAGCTTTTCGTTCTAAATTTTGCTCATTTTATGAAAATGTAGAAGGAATGGTTAGATACACTCTTCAAGTATAATGATATATATGTCGATTTTATGTTGAAGCGAAGTTGATAGTTTGTAATGGGCTACTATCTTAGCTCAGGGTAATCACATGAATATGATATACCTAGGTGAACAACTCATTGAAAACCGTAGCTTTCTGTCGCAATCTTACTCATCTTCTGAGTTGTACTTTATGTAGAGTTTTCTTCTCTGCTGCTTTATGATTGCGTTTATCACGACATTCGACCATTCTGTTAGGAATTATATTCATACTTGCAGTAGGCTGTCTCTCAGCTCAGTTAATCGAAATCAATAACACAGCGCAAACTTTTCCAAAGCCTAAGCTGTTGTCATAATTTAGCTCTTATTATGAAATGTACCGTCACAATGATTTCTGTTTTGTCGCCTTAGAAATCTTCTCTCTTATATAGCCACCAAGACTTTGATTCAACATAAAGGAAGTACAACGTTAGATCTATGTTAGGCACCCACCACAAGTTTGAATCTTGTCAATGAGTAAAGTTGGTATTTAAATAGCAGGGCAGAGGTATGGGCACATGCTACCCCAAGTGTCAAGTTTGTGCCCCGACAGGAGTGGGCCAATTAACTATCAGGGAACTTATTGGTTATAAAAAATATTTCTCTTTATGATTACCTTCGTCACATATTCAAGCTTATACTTTGATAACTTTGCCCATGTTGTGTAACTGTTTGACATGTTCAATTAACTCGAAACAGCTTAGGGAACTTTCTTCAAGATTTACCTTGGTAGGAGATAAGATAAAAAATACTCCCTCCATCCACTTTTATTTGTCATGTTGTGCTTTTTGAAAGTCAATTTGACTTACTTTCAAAGTTTAAATTAGATTACATCAATTCGATTTTTTAAACAAAAACTTTGGATATTTAAAAACTATAAGAAAAGTACTATAAAATGCAATTTCTTACATCAAGCTTCAAATGAGAGAAATATTCAACTTAAAAAGTCGATTCTATCTCGTATTTTCCTTGAACATATGCAAAAGGAGAAAATGCAGGGTTAGTTACTTTTTATCACCGGGTCTTGTAACAAGCTGGACTGATTCACTTGCAAGTGTGAGATGTAGAGAACCTCTGGTTTTAGGGAAATCCTAATTGAGTATTGGAATGAGATGAGCCACACAAAGCAGAATTTATATAAAGTAGTCAGTATACGCGACCTTTAATTTGGGATTGCAACGTAGTTGATTCACTGAGTATATGAGGTACCTAATGTGTATTGTCTTTGTGAGATTCAAGATATAGCAATGACTTATCTACCTTGTATTTTCTTATTTTCATGATAAAGGACTTCTCTACCTTGTTCAGATCGGTTGTGTAAATGTCTTTTATAACTTCGAGTTATTTTATTTTGACATTTTAGGTTCTTCTGACCTCTTTCACGAGCTTACCGCCCCTATTCCAAGAAACATCTAATGCCATCCATGAGTTGACAATTGCAAGTAATGTTCTGCACTCTTGTTTATTTTATTTGCTTTTCATTATGTTGCCTAATTGCTTCTGAAGGTGCTGGTGCTTGGTTGCTGATTGTGTATTATGATTATCTATGAATTGTAAGTACATTATCTTGGAGATGCAGTGCTCAGTTCTTCCACTAATATGCCATATGCTGTACAATGGGAAGTGTAATTCGAAGGCAGTGAAGCTGTTTTTTCAAGCCCCAAAAAAAAAACTAAAGGAAAAGGAATAGCTTGTTTGAACAAATTTGATACATTCGTTATCTCATTAAAAGTAAAAAGAAAATATTCTTCAATAATCATTTACTTCATCAAAAAGATAAATAAATATAAAATATTCTTCAATAAAATGCAGGACATGTATTCCATGAGGTCATCTGAATATAGAGCATTTTTATCCTTGTTAGGCGGGATGGCGGGATGCCATTTCAGTGTATTTCTGCAACCATAGGAAAGACAAAGACTTGTTTGTTTGCTTGCTTGTTAATATTATTATTATTAGATTTGCTTATTCTCGAGATTGTTGGCTTGCTAATATTATATGATTGATTTAAGCCATTTGAATTTGGAGCTTGGTGAAAGTTCACGGTTCTCACAGTCACACTAATAGTGTTCAATGGTATAACAATTCACAGGAGATATTTACGAGCATGCAGTTG